AAATGACTAATCTCTATTTGTGGAATTAAGCTTTAAACTGGCAACCATAAATTAATTGAGCCAATTGCGAAAAGAATTAGGGTTGCTACTATCGACAAAAAACACAACTAACTTTCATCTTATGTCAATAGTAAAATATAATGGACAGATATTTTTTAAATACTGTCTATAGTTCGAAACGTCGGGCCGAAGTTAAAAATCATTTTCAAATAAGTTTAACTAATATATCGCGTTTTAAACCGTTAAAGTGTTTTATTTAAACATATATTTTTTTTTATTTAGAAACATGTTTGATTAAAAACTTATTATATATTGAAAAAAATTACGACACGGGCACGACTTGAGCCAGCATCCACAGGCTTCCGTGCTGTTGCTCTAACAAAACATCTTTAGAGCAGCACGGAACGCTATGTTGCCGGTTCAAGTCGTGCTTGTGTTGTCAATTTTTTCTCAATCTAAAGTCGATTTTAAATTTAAATAATTTTGAAAAATATTAAAGTTTTTAAATATGTAGATTATCCATTTTATATAATATGGTCTATCTTTAAACAATCCAAAGAGCGGAATCAAAATATGTTTACGCTACTTAATATGCAAGCAAGTTGGATTGCTCAACTTTATCTATCGTAAGGTACGCTTTGGTCGTAGTTGCAGTTTCGTTTATTCGAATACTAACTTCGTTAACAAAGTTACGACACACAGAAAGTTAGTCACTTTGTCCAGTACGCCAGCTCTGTGTTTTAACATCTACAATAGGATTTGAAGGTATTGTAATCGCTGTATTAAACCGTTACGTTAAAATGTTTTATCAGTTTAAAATACATACATATACCTTCACCAGGTCAATATTACAAATCTCAATACATTCAGTTAAGTTGTATATAGAAATTTAAATTTTTATAAATCACCTTTGAACGGGATAAAACTTGATTGGTGTCAGTTGGTTTTCACAGTTTTTTTTCAATTTATTTTCGATTTTTAAATAATTACATTTAAACCTAATAAAATGTCTATTAAAGAATTATTTCTCTTTAAATAATCTAAAGAAAAGTCCGCGACGCTCTATGTCTTTCTTTTAAGATAAGCTTGCATGAACGACGGGAAGGGGCGCGATCGACGTCGTGCCTAACAGCTTAAGTTTATAAAGATGACGGGGTTTGCAGTATTATATACATACTATATATACATAAATTACCGATAAACATTTTCTTAAACAATACTCCACCTGTTAAAATAAATATTTTAACGGTTTAAACGACAATATATAATATTTGCGATAATGGCTCTCGTTTTTTTTACTTAACTTACAAGTATATATGTTTTTTGTTGTATTTATACCTAACTTATAAGTGTATATATATAATATATTTTTGGCCTTGTAAGTTATTCATATCGTTTCAAGCTAAGCATATTGATTTGCTTGTAAATTGTAACAGGAGATATAATGTCAGTGTAAATTTCCCATCTCACCGTTTAAAGCTAAAACACACTTTAATATAGTTTGCGATATATCGAAGTAGTCGGGAGGGTGTTATTTTGTTTGTTTTGGCACAAGAAGCAACCTGGAGTCACGTAACGCCCGAATAGCTGTTACATGTGACAGACTGAAACGCGATATGTGTATTAGAAAATTTCATGAAATTCCTTCAAAAGTCTTCAAGCCAATGATGCTTGTACGGAGCACGAGTGATTTTTACTTCGGGAATATTTCCCAGAAGAAAATGTAGAAATACGCTTATTGTACGTAAGTACGCGTTCTCTAAGAAATTTATAGGAAAGGAAGGCAGTAAGACTTTTTAATTGCATTTTTTTTTAACAGGGATCATTTTGGTATACTTTTTGGCAGGATTTATTTATTGTTATACAATAATCAACGGGTCGTGTAATCGGTCCCCAATAGGTTCAACATAAATTTATAATTTGTCTGAAATATATTCGTCGTCATCTGGGAATCTGGAAATATAACGAACCACTATCGGCTGATGAAAAGCCGTGAAGCTTAATCGCGTTTTGGTTTTCGAAGTTTAGATTTTATATGTGCGAGGTTTTTTACCTATCATTAAGTAATGGGTATGCTTATATATCATCTTCTATATAAAAAAATGGTTTGGTTAAACATTTTCAAAATATGTTGAAATATCAAAAATCTAAACTATACTATTATATAACGACAAAAAAAGACTTAGACTACTTTAACTTCCGAAATTGATATTTTTTTAAATGTGACGAAACATCATCTCTACGACGTTTACATATATTGTAGCTCTTGTAGAAATAAGAAATATACTCATTTGATATGTATACTTTTGTAACAGATATAATATTAGTGATAATAATTCACAGATGATATCATAAAATCGACCTACTTTACTTCACGTCTCCCTTATGTCAAGGTCGATTATCTCATACTGTTAACTTATTATTCACATAGTATTCTAATCGCAGTCGGTCCGTTTGATAACCAATTAAGTTTTATTACAAAACATTACACGCCTTAAATAAGTATTATCAACGAAGGTTGGGCGTTGAGATTACAAACTTCGAAGCACTAAAATGTTGCATGTCGAATGTCTTAAGAGCGGCCATTTTAATGAAATATATTTTATTATTTTGAAGTTGTGTAAAACAATTTAACCGTATGTGTATAATTCATATAGATATTGGCTAATTAAAAATAGCTCTAGTTAAATACTGTCTGTAGTTTACGCGAGTAGTACACATTTAAATAAAACACTTAAACGATATCTAGCGAGTCTCTCCGTGACCACGGCTGTTGCGAAACATTCGAAACGTCGGGCCGTAGTAAAAATAATTTTTAAATAAGTTTAACTAATATATATCGCATTTTGAACCGTTAATGTGTTTTATTTAATTAGCTACTAATAAAAATAAACAGCTTCTTTAAATTATTTAATGTCTCTTGCATTACAAACCGTTTAAAGTGATCTAAAGTTTCTAAAACTTTTATAAACTAGATACACCTTAACTTATTATTTGTCTATTCCTAGCTTAAATATAATAAAATAATTGTATGCATTTCTTATCTGTATCCCGTTAAATGTTTGCAAACATTGTACCTCTCGACCCACGTAATTCGCCCTACACTTCCTTACTGATTTATGTCATGGAAATCCCGTTTGAAATTCGCCTATCTTTATGGAGATGTATATGTCTTTAACTAGATATTCGCTAACATGTTATACGATAAGATCGGTCGGAAAGGTCAAAAAGGCTATAAACAAGCTATTAAATTAGTTAGTTTCACTCATAAGCCTAAAAAGTAATAGATAGGATTCACTTAATATCGGGTTAAGAAGAATATTTTTTTATGATGTCCTTATCTCTTTGATATAACTGAATTTGTATATTGTTACCAGAAATCTATGAAATCTAGAAATTGTGTAAAATCCTAGAAAATATTATTTAAAAAACTATTTAACAGAAATATCCCATTTCAAGTAACATGTATTTATTATGTTACCTTCATAGGAACTAACCTGAGTGCTATCAGAATATTTTCTTTTTCGTTATAAAAAGTTGTGCCTCTTAGGAATTCCTTAAGTCCATTTATGAGTTTTGACTTTTAAGTTATCTTACTTATTTGTTATTAATGTCAGAATTAGTTAATTTACATAATTCTTGGATATAATGTCATTTTTATTAGAAAGGTCATCGCGAATACCGGTAAGATAACGTTCGTAAACAAAACGATGACTAACAGCTATAAAATGGAATAAGCTCATTATTAGATTCATTAAACAAGAAAAATATTCAGCGACATTTTAGCGCCCTTACCAAATTATCTAACAACGATAGCAGTTAAAGTTTTAAATATTGTAACGTTATTTTTTTGCGTGAATTGTTTTATTAGGTATAAGTTGATAAAGGCAAGTAATATTGCGACGTGTGACTAAGGCAAAAAATTAAACATTTATACCACAGAACCATAGCTGTGTGACTTTTACTATACATACTTAGTACTTTTGACCCATGCTGGTCTGTCGAAAACGTGATTTATGGCTATAGTTAACTTTCTACTTTCGATAAAAATGTTTAAGATTCAGTATAGCAAATAATGTTAATACATTTATAAGAATTGTTTCTACTATGTTTACGATTATACTAGACAGAAAATTAAAATTTTAAACACAATAAATATCATAGCTTAGCCTCGGGCACCGAAATACTTCGACCAAAGACCAGTTTGTGCCATGAAATCTATTTATATCCTCTTATACTATTAATAGAGGAAGAATTTCGGAAATTCTTTTAGATGAAACATTTATAATGACATGCAACGTTCACGATTATTTAAATTTGTTATCACATTTGGAGGTAAAAACTATTCCAAATCAAAACGAGATTGGTGTAAAAATTAATCTTATTTGAATAAGCACTTTTAAATTACAAAAGGATTTGAACCTGCATCTACAGCGTTCCGTGCTGTTACTCTGTATCCCAAGACTCAGTGGCTAAATTAATATTTTGTTTTGTATAGTTTCGTTAAATTTATAATCAATTTTTAATTTATATAGTGCCATCATGGACAATAACATGTGAAAAATATTAAAGTTTGTAAATACTTTTTTTATGCCAATGTCCTAATGAAGAACATACCTTGGTAGGTTTCAATTATAAAATAGTGTTACGGGTAACTAATTTTCTATTAGTAAATAGATATTTCTATTTCCCAATAACGTAACTTTTACCAGTGATTTGACCTCAAGTTGACCTCAGCTATCACAACAAAAAGTCCTATTTTTTATAAATATAACATTGTATTTGATTTTAAAATACTTACTTACTTTAATTTTGAAATCAGATACCTACATTGATAAAGATAAATGCTGGAATTTTACTAAAACTCTATTGCATGTTAATACTAGATTATAATAATCACTTCTAAAACTAGCAATGTTATAACCAGTACAAAATTGAAAGTTATAAATTTAAAGATTTCTAAAATTATTTCTTTTTTCAAATCTAAATTCAGTACTTACATAATAAAATTCATAGTAAATTCACACACATAAATCACACCCACTTTGGAATATAGAACATTCGCTTTCCACGAATTTTCAATTTACACTTCCATGTCAGCACGTTTCACACACATAAAGCTGCGCAAGCGCACACGCGCACCCTACTATGCCAATCTTTTGACTGAACGTGTTCGATATTCGGAAGTCCCGCGGAATAGCCGGTCTTAAGATAACACTCACTTGACGTAGTAAGTGACTTATTGATTAGATCTATATCTGTTTTATGTGACACATAGTTTATTTAAAGACATGTAGTTTAAACTCTCATGTCCTTCCCGGATTTTTTTTAACCTCTCAATTGGATTTTTATAGTATTAAACCACAAAGACTATTCAAATAGATGGTTTAAATGGCTGATTTATAACGTTAAGGCAAGCTTTTAAAATAAAACAACTTTACATGTACAAAACTCGATTTATTTGATTTAAATCTATTTAATAGTTGTTTGTTTTAGAGACAAACAGAGGCAATAATTGGTATGTTATATTCTAAAATATAGTATAGTATTGGTTAAATTATTAAATAACAGTTTGTAAAATAAAATTAAAGAGTCTGTAAAATAAGATTACTGTCCGTAATTTATGCGAGTAGTGCACATTTAAATAAAACACTGTAAACGGCTTAAAATGCGAGACTGATTAGTTAAACTTATTTTTCCCGCGTTAATTGATATGCGAGGACTCAAACACATGGCACAAACGTAGTAGACTTTACTTTGGCATTAGGGACACACTCAATCCTTAATTCTCCTGTGACCGCGGCTGCTGCAATCTGAAACCTTGGGCCATAGTTGTAATATATTGTAAATAAGTTAACAATACATTCCCCATTTTAAACAGTTAAATGTGTTTTAATGAAAGATTTATATTTTATTGCCTGCCTCGTCACTAGACTAGGTAGAGTAAACTACGTCGTCTTAAAGCACGTATCACTAGCTTCATCGGCATTTAACGACGCCCTGGATTCGAATCTGAGTTAGTCAATATTTCAATATTTGGATTGTATCTGACTAGATTTAATTACTACCCCGCCTCGGAAAGTACGTTAAACTGTCGGTCCTTATAACCATTAGTAGTTTTGTGGAGGTAATCGTTAAACCCAGAAAAATCTAAAAAGATTCTTAATGTGGCAAATATAAGCCGAACGTAAAAATCACTCAACATAATAATCGCAATACACACAAGGAAGTGCAATTCCTAACGAACTCGTCAGTGTGAATGTATGTCAAAGTGATAAGACGGCAAATATTGACTTGCACCTGTTACTAGTGTTAGTTTTTGCAATCTCACACTTTTTATGAAGCGAAACTTATGGATAGAGCTTATTAAATTTGATAATTCAGTTTTGAGATTGTTTGAATGTTTGCATCGCAACGGCTTAGCCTTGATAAATGATCAGTGTTGATGATTAATCGATCTTAACCATATAAATCTAATACGATCCTTATTTGAAGCACCTCTGTAAATATCAGTGTTGTTTACAAAACAACATTTTTTTGCAATCTAAAAATATATATAGGTCAAACGTCTGAGCCCAGATTCTGATATTTACACTTGCTTCTCTATTACCTCTCGCTAGCCTAAGCTTAATTAACATTAACTCGTGCATCGTTAAATTGTTATGGACTATAAGTTATCTCACTCTATCTCCATAAAATGAAAATAAAACACTTACAATTGTTTTTTAATTTTCAAAAATTAACTAAAAGATTAAATGAAACATTTAGAGCAGAGACAAACCTTAAGTAAAAAACATTGAAATTGCCAAATTTATACACATGCAAAGTTGAATACTGTCTATAGTTTACGCAAGTAGTACACATTTAAATAAAACACTTTAACAGTTTAAAACGCGATATATTAGTTAAACTTATTTGAAAATGATTTTTAACTTCGGCCCGACGTGCACGGATGCTTTGCAGCAGCCGTGGTCACGGGGAGACTCCCGTGCAAAGTTACTTTAATTTTAAAGTTTTTGATGTTTAGTCTCCTCGTGACTGCTGCAAAGCCTCCATAAGTTAAAGTAATATATAGCGCGTCTTAAACCGCTATCGTGTTTTCTTCAAATGTGTACTACTCGTGTAAAATACAGACGGTATTTTTAACACTGTCCTTTCAATTGCAAAATCCCTGTTTCTAACACACGACATACAGTACAAAAATCTTTATTTATAATTAAGAAATTAAATCTGTAAACATACAAACTTAAAAAAAGAACAAGAGCATGACGGGCGATTTGTTTTAAATTTAGCGTGTGTTTTTTTTAATTTTTTTTTTGTTATACAAAATAAATATATAATATTACCAGAATCAGGGCCCTGCCCTGCATTGAGCTCAGTGATTAGTGTCATAATAATGTCGGCTTTGTTGTCAAGCGTTTGGACGCCAGTCAAAGTCAAAACCGTCTAGGTTACGATTCAAAGGCGTCACCGCTTTTAGCAGAATAGATTTAGGGTTACGCTGCAATACAAAGGTTAAATTGTGTTTTGTCATCAAATTGAGGCAAAATAACAGTTTCGATTTTACTAAAGTCCAATTACCTTTCTATGCCCACTCTATCTTAGAAAGACATTGGTAAAATCATTTAGACTAAGTTTTACCAATATACTTATTTGAACGTAAAAGTCGTGAGAGAGTAAACAGCTTCGTTACGTAACGCATTATGCGAGCCGGATATCTAAGAAGTCCCGAAGGTAAGAAGAAAAAGATTAACTTGCAAGAAAGATAAGACGCGTGCGTAACAGTGAGTTTCTTTACTCGTATGAGTCGTTTTAAAGTTTTGTAATTTAATATATACGGAACCATGTTGCGCGAGACGCCACCTCAATCTTAGCTTATTCTTTCCACTCTTGACATTTAACACGTTGTGAGCAGATGCTCTACATAATTTTGTAAATTGATAGTATAGAATATAGATTTATTTTTCTTTGTGAACACAGTTTGTGAATGTCTCATGCGCACATGTTATCGGTTTTTGTTGCTTAGTATCTTCCGTACGACGTATAATCAAAATCAAGAAATTATATTTAACCGTTACCCACGACGTCGTCCGTATCCCTTCGTTATTGCGAGTTAAGATATTATCGCAATTTTTTTTAGATATGTAATTTTAAGAAGATTAACGTTTACATATTATATAGATTTTTAGTTTCATGAATGGTTTTCGGTGGGCTCGTAATGGCTGAGCTGAAAAATGGGAATTTTTCCCGCCATTTCCACATTTTCCATTTACTCGGGTTCGTTAGTGTAATTGCAGAAATTAATGGAAAATAATCGTGTTCATAACCGGTTCCAATTTTGATCAATTTATAATTAGTTCAAAACATGTTCAATTTGGAAAGAACTTATGCTCGATAGATAAATGAAGGAACATCGAAATTATAAGGCAGACCTCCGTCCACAGATAAAAAAACCTTGAACTTGGATCGCGTCTCGGTTTATATCTAAAGCCAAAATAGTTCGACAGCGCGTCTTGTTAAGATGTTATATGGGTGAGGTTATTCCTTCCATCAATCCAAGTCTGAGGAAGACAGTATCATAAAAATACTTAAATACTGTCTATAGTTGACGCGAGTAGTACACATTTAAATAAAACACTTTAACGGTTTAAAACGCGATATATTAGTTAAAATTATTTGATTTGATCATTTTCAAATAATTTTAAGTAATATATCGCGTTTCAAACCGTTGAAGCGTTTTATTTAAATTAAAATACTTCTATATTTTTGCTAAAGAACTAAGCCATTATAAACATACATATTTAAGTTCTCGTTCACACACAATTACATCACCAGTAGGGCCCAATTCCCAAAACACTAACAATAGGACTACAAAGGGTTATAATTCGTACTATTAACAGGCGGTAATGATCCGTACATCCGTTCCTCTCGTTATCGAGTTTACCGCGTCATCGAATCCCAATGATAACCGTGTGATCCAAATACTATACTGATATGGAATTACTGTGGATTTGGAGTTTAATTGGATAAAGCCTCTTTAACCGACAAAACCAGAAGGAGGGGTAATGGTTTTGTTTGGATTTGGAGGGTCACATAGTCTTGTCTGTGCAAATAAAAATTAGTTATTTTATTTTTTATTATTGTCAAACATACTTCAAACGTATGTACTTCAAAATGTTCATTCTTATTTGTACACTTCAAGACAAAACAATTGTTTTTTAGTGGTCTACCTAAGGCCCAGGACCAGCTCAGTTCGCGTTTCCAAAAGTGGTCGACAGCGTCTCGTCTAGATGTTATTTTATTTGTTACGCCATAGTATCGCGTTTAAGATTAGTGGTCTTGGTTTCAATTTATAGACAAAATGATAAAATGTTTCGGTCTGGCAGGGCACAGAAGGCTCATCAACTACTTACATGTACATATAATACATCAATAATGTTTTTACATTATTGATGTATTATATGTACATGGAATTCCAGTTTATTGAACCACTATTCAAATTTAAAAAATAACAACACTTTGAATATAAGATAAAGATTGTGCAAATTTTATACATTAAACGCCAAGTTTTATTTCTTAAATTATTGTTCATATTTTAATATCCCTACCGCAAACCTACAATGATGTCATTTATAATATTTTCGTGTCACCAGCCAAGCAATTATGATGACGCAATGTTTTATTTAAGACGAACACTTGCTATAAACAAAAACTACGCATTCTACAGGAAAAGGAAAAGATTTTTTTTTTATTAAAAATGTTTGCCATGATTAAAATCTAAAAAAAATATGGCACGGTAGCTCAGTTGTTTAAAATTTATTCTAGAGTAGCAACGCGAAACGCTGTAGATGGCGGTTCTAGTCCCGGCCGTGTTGTAAATTTTTGTCAATCCGAATAGATTTTAATTTAAAATATTTTTTTCAAAACGAGCATAAAATGCCGTTTGCTAAATATATTTGTTGCTGATCCGACAGTTCTTGTGCCGTGTATAGAAAATATTTTTTCGTAATTCCT